GCCACGCGACTGTCGGTCTTCTTCTGGCGCTTGCGCGTGGGAACGGTCACGATACAGTTCCGGCCGGCCTTGGCGCATCGTTTACACGTGCCATTGGGATGGCTGACATCGGGCTCGCATCGGACTTTGAGTTGACGACATGCTTCGCAGGCGCGCGGACGTCGCAATTCGGCATACGGATCGTTTGGATCGTCGGGATCGAGTTGAGAGGATGTGCTGGGCACCGAGCCAGGTTCAGGCCCGCTTCGGTATATAGATGGCGTCGACTGGGAGTGCGCGGCGCTGCCGTAGTAGCCGGGCCCACTTGCAGACGAGACGGCGGATCGCAGCTGGTCAGCGGGAGAGTAAGGGGACGGTGGTTCGGGGTAATCGCTGCGGCGTGCAAGAGTGGAGGGACCGGTGGCATTGGGGTCGGGATGTCTAGAAGAGACCGGGGGAGGGATATATGGACGACCGGCTGCGGCGCCGTCGGCAGGAGAGCTGTCACTGCCAGCACGCAGACGCGGATCGATCTCCATCGGTTTGCGGGGACGACTGGGTTTAAGGCACGTCAGCCTGGGTTGCACGACGGGTGGATGATGGTCGCCATGGCCAACGGGATCAATATCACGACCGGCAAGGATTTCCGATCGCTTGGCCGCGCGCGCGCGTTAATCCTAGAAGGGATAGTAAGGAGACCGAAATGAACATCAAGCTTACATTTTTAAGTTGAGAGAAAAGAAGATGAGGGGGGGGGTGGAAAGGCACGACGAGGCTGCAGTTGGGCGAAGGTCGGAGAACCGGACGGTCGGTGGCCGACAGCCGACCGTGGAGGCCTCAGGCGGGTGCGTGTTCAAGCCTTAAAAAGGAGTCCCTCCAGGAGATCCTGGATCAGATGCATTAGATATCGGGAACCACGTTCGAAGAAGATGGTGCTTCACTGCCGGGTTTGATGCGACAGATTGTGCGAGGAGAAAGAGATGACAAGAAGAAGAAAGCAGAGAAGGGAGAAAACGCGGAGACGCGAAAAGACGAGCCAAGGAGCCTCAAGTGGAGGGGGGCGGCTTTCTGTCGCCTGTGATTTCTTGTTTCTACGTCTCTCTCTCCTAATCTGCCGCCAGACCATGGGATATTTGTATACCAATAATACCATAAAATATCATCCATTTCAATTAATAGCGCCTGGGGAGATCAAGTTTCTTCTTTGACGCATATCCCATAATTATCTAGGCTCGAAATGATGAATGGATGACTCAACACCTTCAGGCTGCCATTCCTTCCTATCGCTGCTTACGTGTGCACCAACTGCCATCCCATCCCCCCTTTTCGATCCATAAGTTAGTCACTCTTATGGGTCACTTCTCTGATCAAGGAGTATGTAAAAGGTGTAGCATTCGTAAATGTCCAATGTCCGGGGGGAAACAGCAGTCGCTCTAACTAAATGGCCAAGAACTTCACGCGCCGAACTAATTGCATCAAACATGAGGGGGAGATCAAGAACACCAACCAGAGAGAAACTCATCACTCTCTTCAACCAAACACAAGAACCCCAAGCTGCTTGACAGCTGCAAAACAATGATAGAATGAGAGACAGCAGACAACAGGGCCCAGGACGCCGGCTCGGCGAATAGTACTGGAAAAAAGCATTTGCCTCACCAAGGTAAAGAGAAAAAACAAAGCCACCATCGGACCGACAAGTAGGCGGAAATCCAGCCGCAACCAAGCTTGCATAGTACAAAAGAGGCCCGCTATAAAACCACAAAAACACCAACATGAAGACATCAGGCTCGTTCAGGAGACTTTATGCACCGGGCACTCCTTCTTCCGCTCAAACCATTCAACGATGCATCGCTTGTGGAATTTGCACAGACACTCCAGCCGCACCAGCGACTGCCCAACCTCGTATTCTTCCATGCAAATGGTACACTCCTGTAACCCTCCATCCTGTCCCACGCAGTCCTTCTCCGTCGCCTTGAATACAACCAGACGAACGGGAACGGGTGAGGACGCCGCTGGGCTACCGTTCTGTGGGGACATGCGACCCTGTCGACCATGGCTCTCAATACAGTCGCGGATATGCGCTTCTCGACTAATCTCGTCCCCGTTGTTACCTAAAGGTGGAAGCTCTTGATCACAGATCGGACAGAGATCGCGCTCTTCGACGTGAGGCCGCCGCCACGGCGCTACTACCCCGAGAGACGAAGGTCGGGCTGTCGACGACACGGGCAATGAACTGGCACTTCCCACACCCGGATACGGGAGCGGTCGAGAGGACGCACTGGAACCCATTGAGATGGGATGGAAGCGGGAACTAGACAATGATCCGTAATCAATAGGCCTGGGCCGTTCCTGCAGCCGTGGAGCAAAGGCGCCGCCCAACCCACCAAACGTGGTATAATCGCTTGAGCCTACGGTCCGTCGTCCTGGCCGTGAGGGAAATGTACCTGGCTGCTGCTGTCATCTTGTCAGTGGGTGGGGGTGGGGAAGGCATTTCCGGAAAGGCATACATTGAGACTCACCAGGCCTCCACTGTGGGGATTTTGATTAGCGGGCGATGACACGGAATGATAAGATCGATGTCCAGATTGATTGAATGATGTAGGGTAAGCCCCCTGCCCTATGCCCGAACGTGATTCTGCTCCCCCGCGGCTCCGAACAGTCGCAAACCCACGAGGCGGGTCTGGGTTGGGATCTGGGACGCAGGGGTTACACAGCCGCACCTCCTCCCCGCCCCCCAGGGCCGGGTTGAGGGCAGTTGGGGAGGTAGCGGCGTCATCACCTTCCAAATCAATAACCGGAGCCGCGCGCGGGGGGATCAGAGAGGAGGAAGCATAAGAACGATTGGGGTCGCGCACGATGAACTGTCGGGGAATAGTAATCCGGTGGGGGGAACATGACGCACACACGACCCGGCCACATTTACGGCAGTGATGCTTCCTGTACCAAAAGCTGAACGTTGTCCCGCAAATGGGACATTTCGTCACCTCCGCATCAGGCTGCCATTGCGGCCGTGTATACTCCACGTAAGCACCAGTACCCGTCCGTGACCACGATCCCCGACGGTAGTTGTCAGTCGAGCTAGATGCACCCTGCGGCCGGGTCTGCGGTGGGGGTGATGTTAGATCTATGGGATTGGCATAGGACGAATGAGGAGGAGGAGGATCCTGGGGCGTCTGCGTCTGAGTCTGCGTTTGCGTCTCGAACGAGGAGAACCGGGGGATAGACCTGCTATCCATTGCTGCTGCTCGACTGCTACTGCTCGGCCCGGTGTCCGTCAACGGCTCGGGAACTGTACGCCTCGACCACGCATCCGCCTGCAGACCGACTATCCGTCGCTTACGATCCGACCCGCTGAGAGTGGATCGCCGTCTCTCAGTACGTCTATCTAGTGCAGGACCGGCCTCACTTGTCCGTAAATGCTCCGAGCTCGCATGAGGCCTGAGACCAGAAGAAGGCGGTGGGGCGGCGAAAGCGGCGGCTGCGGCTGCTGCGGTGGTGGTGGTGGTGGTGGATGATGAAGCAGATCGGGAAAACGTCGGACTCGACAGGGACGACATGAACTGAGGGAAAGGAGCAGGTGTAGAAAAAGTCGAAGCTGAAGCTGTATGTCTGCCGGACGCTGCAGAGGAGACTAATCTCCGCCGTTTGGACGACGGACCGTCATTGACTGAGTGGCGCGACGAGGCCAGGATTGGGGTAGGAATAAGGCAGAACCGCGTTTCCGGGTAGCGTGTGGCAGGCGTGAATATGGAAGGGGAGAAGACTGATTCTGGGGTACAGTCTTCTACCTGAGGAGGAAAAAGAAGAAGGCGGAATAATTGGCAAGAAAAACAAAAAAGCCGATAGACAGTGGATGCAAAGGTTTGGAAAAGAAGGAAATCAATCGAGAACGTTCGGACTTTTGGGCGTCGAAGGCAAATCTTCGGCCAGGAGGGGGGTCTCGTGACTCGGGCGATAAGAAGGAGAAGCACGCGCCCCAAAGTAACACCAGCACTAGTTCCTCCCTGCTGACAGCAATTTGATCAGGAAAGGGATGACCAACGCGGCTGCGAAAGGGACAAGAGTCTGCCAGCCGCAAGAGTGTGTGCGTGTGTGTGAGGTGAGGACGTGATGGTCAGGCGCTTTGCCGCTGGCTGACGTTCAACAAGCCGAGGATTGGCCGCGGGGCAAAATGGCGGTCCGCGAGGTGAGCTTCTAAGTTAACTAGTACTCTCTATTCTTTGTCTCTCTCTCTCTCTCTCTCTCTCTCTCTCTCTCTCTCGGTGTCCGTGGGTGTGTCTGTGTGCCTCTTTTATCATCAACCCACGAGGCTCGCGCCGATTATTCCGATCAGGGATGACCAGACTAGCCCAATTCCGTCAGGAGTATTTACTATCAGTGTTTCTAGCCAGGTCTCGGAGAATCTAGGGACACCGTGCATATGAATTATTGATCTGGCGGATCAGCCAGCTCTGACAGTCAGGCCACCGGGGGATCTCCTCTCTTCAAGTAGAGATAGGCTGGTGCTCGAGTTTATGCTGCCGTTGATGATTTCACATGTCTCGTATCTCACATTTATCTACTAGCAATGGACTACAGTCGCTCTATCCGCTAAATATGTGTGAAAATATATTTTACTAGCATAGTTGTTGCTATTTAGCATTATCAGCACTAATGTAAACGCCTATCTCCCATTCTCCGTTCACTATAGTTAAATGAAATTAGTGCCTAACAGTCCATACACGAAAAGAATTCGCCAACCTATACAAGATGCGACGCTGGGATTGCAGAACACAAAAAGGCCGTACCCATGCCGGAATGGCCGGGTTACAGGGGAAAGGGGTCGAAATCGTGGCTGCCATAACTGCGGGCCACGGTGCAAGAGCAGGGGGGATGGGGGAGGGGGTTAGACAGAAGATGTGGATATGAGACAAAAGGTGGATACAAGAATGAAAAACGAGGAGGAAAAGAAAAGAAATACAAGACACACGCTGGCCAGCAGAATGCTGCGGGATCCGGTTGCTTATTTACCGGAAATCCAAACCCATATATCACAAACTCCTTGCACATAATCCTTTTGTTGACGACACATTGTGAGAAAGAAATTCGTCATCTCCACAGCAATGCCGATGGAAGATAGCTTCGCTTATGCTTTCAGACTGACAAGGCTGCCTTCAGTGTGCCTCGTCGTGGTGATGCGCTTCATCCACCAGTTCGGCGGCGCTGCCCGCAAACGATGGTTCATCCGGACTGGCTTCGTGGATATTATCCTGAGTGCGGTACTGTGCGACGTAACCCATACTGGATGGACGCTCAACACGTGTGCTTCCATCGTTTACCCGACGACTTGATGTGGTGGATGCGGTTGTGGAAGCTATGGAAAAATTGCGATCTCGGGAGGCCGAGCTGGTAGCAGTGAATGGTAACCGACCAGTGACTGAGGCCGACGGATGGAGTTGCCCGGGATTATGAACAGATGGTTCTCCGTGACCGGATTCCATTGATTGCAGGGCGGCTGTATCTGTCACCACAGAGAGAGGGTTTTGCGTCAGATCCAGCTCTTCCGGAGCCAGAGAACGTATAGAGCCCTGGCGTCCGGCACCCGGTCGAGACGGAGACTGGGAGCTATGCTGAGAACCCGCGCGACTCGGAAGCTCAATGTCGCCGCCAGTTTCTACCTTGGGCAGAACAGTCTGCGTCTCCGTAGACCGCTCGTTTCCTTCACCGTCCGAATCACGGTATTGTGCATTAGCCTCCGAGGCCTCACGGTTCTGCTCTGCGGCAGCCTGGTCGTCAGGTTCGTCTCGGTAGGGTTCATGTTGGTCATGGAACTCTTCACTTTCGGGGAAGAGACCAGGTGGTGGTGCTCTGCTGCTGCGCACGACCTCGAAGCCTTTTCCTTTCTCCTTGGTTTTCCCACGGAACAGACTACGGAAGAAGCCGGTAGCAGAAGAAACCGGACCGGTGGGGTCAGCTGGACCAGTCTTCAACTTGCGCGTGCCCGACTGGGATAATGGCGGCCCCCGGACTCGGTAGTAGAAGTCGACTTCACGGACCGCGTAGTCCTTGCGTGACTGCCGGGGATCATCAAGGTCAAGGTCATCTTTTGGCGCCGGAATATACGCGGGAGTAGGCGTGCCCCTCCCAGAGACCGACGGCCCTTCGATAATGTCATCATCGATCTCCCCGTAACTTGAAGATCTGTGCGTGTGCCGCGATGCTCTGCCCTTCTCTCCGGCAGCTCCCATATCCACGACCTTCTTGCGAGGCCGCGGTGGCCGATAGTAAGGGTCATGCGGATGCATCGCAAAGACGGGACCGCTCTTCGGGGAGTTACTTCCTGGGGTTTGATACCCGGCAGCAAAGCCACCGGGTGTTGAGGGCGTAAAAATACCGCTACTGTTAGCCCGACTGTGGTTTCCGCCATGCGCGCTGCCGGAATCGAAAATTGCACTAGCCCGCCCTTCACTTGCACCAGCACGGTTCAAAAGCATGGCTGAGCTTCCGGAAAGACTACGAGGTCTCGACCCGTCAAACTGAGATGACAGCCTGTCATCGGTGTGCGCTAGCATGGCAGCTTCAGATCCCATGCTTTGACGAGTGGCGACGCTTTGTCTGGGCACACGGCGTGACAGTTGCCGCATACCGAATACCTTAACCAGGCCACCGCGGGTAACACCTCCTTCGTAACCACCCGCACCGGCGAGTCGTGCAATGACTTCGATAAGGGTCTGCAGAGCGTTCAAAAAGAATCCGAATACCATGACAAGCGCATGAAGGAACAGAATGATATAGCCAATCCATCCTCGAGCGGCCTGTGAGATGCGCAATGAAGGAACAAAAACGACGCTGAGCAAAATCGTCAGGAAGCGAACGATGGAGAAGCATGCATGGTAGAGGTTCATCGACGTTGGCGACGGGTACGGTTTGAAAGCTATCAGTGTCAAAATCGACACCACCTCGCAGATAGCCAGTAGTACGATCTGGGCGATGCCGGAGAGCTGTAGCGCCCCAATGGCAATACCACGAACGAACGTAAGAAATATTGGCACCAAAGCGAAGGCAGCTGCATCGTCACAGAAAGTGTTGTAAAGCGGGCCGTAGAGTAGTACGGTCGAAAGATCGTCGAAAAGGTAGGACTTGGGCCGAGTGTTCGCAATGAGCCGCACTGTCCAAAGAGAGAAGGCTGCCAGGATCACTATGACCACAACTGCGAGTGCGACAGAATATGCCGGAGATTCGCTGGCAATAACCAACTGGAAAAAGGATATTGATAGGATCGGGAGCAGTAGAAAATTGAAGACGACCCGGACAATGTTCCCAACGGTGAAAGGCATGTTTTTAGAGCGAAGGTCCTCCTCTGGACTATTGGCGATCTTGCGGGAGATTGAACGCAAGCCAAAAACCACCTGGATTGATAGCGTGACGACGACTAGAATTACCAGTAGCCAAACCATCATTCCCGGCCAAATATCACGCGCTGCAGGCATGCCGACATATTGATCCAGTTTGTCCAATCCGTAGGTAGCGTTGACGGCATACACACCGTCCTTGACGGGGTTTTGCTCGTTTCCGGGATCCAGGAAACTCTGATTGAACATGAGTACGGACCAAGCAACCCGGCTGATCACAGGCTGATAGAAACCAGGGTAGTTCAGGGTTAGAGAGCCGGTCAACACTGCAAACTGGATGTACTGTAGGCAGTCCCCAAAACCAGGCGTTACTAATCGGAGCACATCTTCGTCGCGACCATAATTACTAGTCCAGTGGAAGGGGTCCGTAGTACCCCATGGGCTATAAATCGCTGCCGTTACCGTGGCAATACCGACCAGGACAAGTATAACAAGGGGGATATAAGCCAAGGTGCTTTTCAGAGACGACCCCAGATCGGGGGTTATTGCGACGGATATACAACCGAGCTTCGTGGCAGCAGCGTCACCAGATTTAATCACGAGTCTTGACGACAAGGTCGAAAAGTAATAGGAGGAAAGCATATCATGTTCAATCGAAAAGGCGCGCAAAGCGGACAAGTCCGACCTATACAGCGAGGATATTGTTAGCCAGTGCGCGATACCAGTTTACAACAGCGCGGATGACAACGGGATTCCTCACGAGTTGACATAGAAAACGGGGCCCAGGGGGCAAGACCCCTGGAAGACCGAGTCGCAGAATCTTGACGCTTCATTGTAAGGAGAAAAGCTCAGAACGTCGATTGACGACAGAAGGGTGGAGTATTTGTTGTTGGCAGCATCCAGGTCCACGATCTTTCCGACAGTGTCATTCGGGTTCGACCACTGGGGGTCATCCGGCGATGGATAAGATTCCCCGTTCGCAGTTCCCGAGACGTTGCCGTATATGGATATATTTAAAGGGTGAAGGGAGTCGTGCTGTTTGAAAACAACGGAGACGTCGAATGGGACGAATTGCAGCTGTCGTGGTTCCGATTGAATCACAGCGGGTTCCAGACAGTTCTCAAAGTCCAGTAACACCGCAGAGGCAGGAGGTATCCAAGATATCAACAACACAACCAGCATCAAGCTAATACCACTGACCCATGATCGATCTCTGCGCCAGCGCCATCGTCGCGTCGTTTGCTGATCCTGCACGAACCCGAAACCTTGGATACCCTGTCTTCTGGTCCCGACAGCTGAACCCGCATCATGGTGCCATCTCGCGTCGCAACGTACAGACATTTCGGCCATCGACAGCGAACGGGATGACCTCCTCGGGGAGGTCAGTCCCCCCGTAAATGATTCAATCCACGTTGTCCAAGCAGTATCGGAAAATGCCAATAATCCCAGGACCTCGGGTACCTGATCAGGCTCCAAGTATAACGAATGACGTTTCCCGGTCGAGATTCAGCGAATGAACGGAACGGTAGGTAGGATTAAAAACGGGCGAGGTCGGCGAGGGAAGGGGGGAGCTGAAGCTGGGATGGAGGGGAATGGCAGGGTGGCTTGTGGATGATGGGCTATTCGAGAACAGGAGTGGATTACTCCTCGATCTCCCCCAGGTTGGTGATGTAGGGGATGCGCACCATCACTTCGGGGGTTGGCGGGGAGGGGAATAGGCCAGGCTCGGAAGGTGAGGCAGTAAACACGGGAAGTCAGCAGCAGCAGTTGGTTAGTGGAGAGAGAGAGTAGAACGAGTGGGAAGCCCCGATACGATGGGCGGTTTAGACTTTGTGCAAGGAAAAGAAAGCACCACGCCTGTGAATTAGCGACAAGGCAAAAAAGGGAAGCAAGAAGGGAAAAGGGTCAAAGAAAATTAAGATAGTGAAAAAGAAAGAAAAGAAAAAAAAAGTTGGCATGATTGGTATGCGAGGCCCCCCAGCTCGGGCTGAGCGAAAAGGCCCATCGATCCATCCACCATTAACGGGGGGGTGGGCTTTGCTTTGCTTGCCTGGCTGACTTGGACTTGACTTGACTGATTGACTGCGCCGCCATGTTTGTTCTCTTTGCTCTGTGGCAGCCGGGGAGCGACGGATTCAGTTTGGGGCGGTAGCACTGCTACTAGTAGTTAGTTCCTAGTGGTGGGTGGCAGTGAGTGAGTCCAGTGGGTGGTGGCTTCTAAACTTGGCAACGCTAATCCTGAGGAACCAAGTCCCAAAGTCAGCCAAAAAGGCAACCCACCCATTCATCCATTACTTACTAGTTATCCGCACACAGAACCTGATCTACCGGCCGGAGTAGTACGTCTCTTTTTTTTTTGTTAGTGAGTATCATCTGACTGCTAGTTAGATAATCGCTAGTATTGTACAGTTAGTAGTTAAGTAGCTACGGAGTATCTACAAGCTGCTAACCCCAAAAGAGGCTCATGCTGAAAGGTTGTCTCACCCCTCAGTCACTAAAATTACTCCAAGTATCATGATCCACGAATTACTTGACAACTATTAATTATTATGTGTCGTTCAATTCATATTTGCTGATACCGCCTATTTTGCGCTTCCTTGTTTCGCAGCCACACCGTGGGCTCGGATCAACCTAGCTTAGCTACTGATTAAGTTAGGTATTGCTTAGGCATGGATGATGAGATGGCATCAGCCCCATGAAGGACCGAATGATTCGGCGGTGGAATATGACGGGCGGACAAAAGGTCGAATCCGGAAACAGAGCTGGGGAGCTGGGGAGCTGTGTCGGCTTTTTCCTGACTGATGGCCCATGGTCGTGTAACATACCACTCACTCACTTATCGTCAAAGCCAGGGAAGAAGGACAGCCGGAAAAGGCTAGGATCCCTTACTTGTCACTGCCCGATTCAACGCCAATACAACCCTCTGATCGCATCCCCTTCCATACTGCACAATGATGAATTCGATCTCCTAGTAGGATCCGACCACAATGGTTGAAATAATTCCTTTGCTGGTTTCGTCTGTTTAAATTATGGGACTTCAGTTCCCATGGGCTCTCACTGAGACTTCAGCTTCTAGACCTTTCTACTATGTGGACTGCCAATGAGCCAAGACACTGAGAACCCGAGACAGTCGAACAATGTAGCCCTATACAACCGATGTACATAATGACAGGTGGGGATCCGGGCGTCGGGATTCAGCCATGTCCCAGATTAGTGCAACAATTTCGCCACTGAGAATTGCACTAGCCGTTCATCTAGATGAGTAAGGAAAAAAAAAAACTACCTTTAGTTAGTCAACTACTGCCTGGTTAGCAAGTTTATCACTTCGGACGATAACACGTAGTAGGATAGATAGCCATAAAGTGGAAAGAGTAGCTGCTGCCATCCGGAAAAGGATAGCTTGAATTAGCTCGCGAAATACAGCTAGAGCAAGAACCCAGCAAGCTGCCATTAATACTCGAGATAGTCTGAAGCAGTCCACAACCAAGTTTTCTCCCAACTCTCAATGATCATCTTCAACTTACGGGTGTTTTTATAGATCTCAAATCATTGGGTAAGCTATCGACGGTTGATCCCTGTGACCGGTCCTTGCATCTCCCGGAGGCTGTGCCACCGAAAGAATCAATGGCTAGCAAAACAGTGATATCACTCTACTACTGGTATAGATCTGTTCGCTTATTCCCTTTCTGAAAAGCACGCGTACTCTTCCCTTTTTTGTAGCTATTAAGGGGCGGGAAGAGGCCAGGAAAAATAAAAATGTAGTTGCCTAACCGCGGTAGAACTCCCCCCCTGTGGTGAACAGTTGACACGTTTTGCCAAAGCTTAGCACGAGTATGGTCAGTGGAGAGAGCGTCAGCAAGAATTCTTTTCAAGCCAAACTAGAAGTTAACAATCCTAGCTAAATCGCTGGGCTGGTATTAAGTTGAAGACATGTGTTGCGCGAAGTACGTGGAAGGTGGAGCGCGTCACCAAATTCATGCTTTCTCAGAGGGGAAGATCGCAAAAAAGGGAGCAACTGGTTGGTATGTGGAGGGGGGAGTAAACATCCCACTCCGAACTATCTATATTTTCGCCCCCTCCAAAAATCTACATCTCCGAAAGAAATAAGTGACTTACTCGGTCATGAGAGGTCGTATACTTGTTAACTACCAGACTATATTCAGGTTAGCAAATTGAGGTGCAATAAGCTTGAGCAGCGAGGCTCCGGAATTGTAGAAAAGTTTCTGACCAATCCTGAGAGGTACAACAATTATAGGATTCATCAAGGTTGTACTCAGATGCTTCCCTGTCTATATCCACGAACTGTGTGCTACAGTAGTAGTGTCTAGTAAGGTTGCATTGGAAGATTTTAGTCTGTTACCTTATTTTCTAACAGAACAGTACAAAGCGTCACGTTCTTGAGCCGATGATTGGTCGATAAGGTCGATAGATCTCCCCAATCTCGACTAGTAATGACTAACTAAGTCATTGCCTGGCAGCCCGTGATGTTGTACGACCGGTCGCCATGCACGGCTAACATACATGCATGCGAGGTGTTGGCCGGCATCGATGAAAACGGAAAGCCGAGGCTTGGGCCCCAGCCCAGCACAACTACTTAGTACAAAGTACTTACTACTACTTACTCGATCTGAGGGTCTACATCAAGACGTATGGGCGAACTTGTAACTACTAGCCTCATATCAATATATTTCGGTTGGCTACGTCGGAATGGTAGCAATTAGGGAGGATGCGCTGTAGTATAAACATAGTAAAAGTGGCATACTAGGAAAATCAAAAGGAACAGGTTCGCTTCGTATATAAACTTGAGCTGCTAGTTTAATTTGCTATAATGTTTTAGATTATTTTTATATTGTTCGGAGACATATTCGATACATCAATGATACTTCAGAGTGGAGACTTGAGATAGTTGCTAAATTCAAAGATGATGCCAATCCGGCAAATGTCATTACTGTTCATGTCTGAATTTGGTTCCCTACCGAGTACTACCATTTTTCTCTATAGTATTTTAACTAGTTATATCACTGGTCAATCGCTTAGTCGTACGTAGTATTACTCCGTTGTACTAACTATTATATAGTAGTAAGGGCGGAGTACCTAACAGAAGCGAGCTCTCAGCGCCAAGAAGTCGATGGGGGCGCGGAAAATAGTGCTGTCAAGCTTTCATCGTCGTAGGATGTTGTTCCAAGTAAATAGGTTCATTAGTTGACTAGTGGATGGTGTTGACCCATAATCTGCGACGGCTGGGTAGTTGCCGCCCTGAACATCAGTCCCTACGATGAAGCTCATTCGTTGATGTGCCTGAGCGGCAAAGAATTGCTCAAATAATTGGCTTTGCTTCGATCGACCGAGGGACTCTCAGGGACTGGGGATAGCGCGACGGACCTCCGTAGCGAAGGCGGGAAATGATTGACCGGAAATGAGATCATTAAATTCCCCCCTTAGATGAGGGTCCTCAATCTCCAATTCTCTAGGCAGTAGTAATTATATGATACTTGTGACTCTGTCAATGGTCTGTGTAGCTTCGAGGGAGGAAGCAGTTGCGATTTTACGAGGATATTCTATGGGACCATCAGTATAACTATGTAAGTATGAAATGCATGCTGGCACGAATTTCATACCAGACAAACAATGATTATACGTGCGGCATTTAAATTTCTTGGCAGTCCTGCATGTCCAGTGAGCTGATCGTATACTTGTTAGGGTCCTATGGGCACCCGCCCCTGTTATCTACATGCAGACAAGAAGTACAATTGCCATCCATGTAGGGTAAATTGGTGGTCAGAAAAGAAAGGCTCCGTCTGTGTAATTCATGAACGACACTATTCGAAACTGCTAGCTGAGAGTTTCAGTTTTGCCACCGACAGCTGCAAGGTTGAGAAAACCAGCTCAGCAGATGTCGGGGAAAATACTATACATTAAGTACAACTTTCTCGATCACCCTTTCTTATGGGCTATCGACTTCAACAGTGCTGTGGTGATGCCCTTTTTTCACCACCTCCACCACCACCAACCCCCTAGCAGCGGGAGGCACCTACCTATCTAACAATCTACTTAACTCTTGTCCGGCTTTTCCCAAAGCCCTCCCTCAAGCAGACCATGCGTGCAAGGTTCGCCGGGGGCTCGTCAGCGGCCCACCGAGCAATCAGCAGCCTCACCAAAAGGAGACTAGGGGCGCGCGGGGCCAATCCCGAGAGGGACTAGGGTCGTTTCAAGCTGAGGGTTGGGGCCAGCCAACGGAACGCACTGGGGGTGTGGGCTCCAATCACACATGCCACACCAGATTGATCGGTTTCTATGATAACAGGGGGTTGTGTTTCTATTCGCTTTGATTCATCTCCAGTCCACGTCAGTTTCAACCTGCGGTTTGGGTTGTGCTCCCTCGGGCAGTTAATAATAGCAGTGATCTTGGGATGGGTTTTACCGCCAATGTCTGTCGACGGAGTATCTTCCTGGCTCGATGATGCTAAAAACAGCCCTCGGCTGGGATCGAGCATTCTCTTACCCGGATGGCTTGCAAAGGAAAATAGCCGACCGGAGAGGCGGTGCACAAGAATGTTGCCAGTATTTCCCAAAAATAATTGAGAGG